TATCAGTGATACTTGTGATATGGGCCAATTAAAATCTTTCCAAATTAAAAAACGCTGTCATTGGACTCTAAACTTGGTTACTTTCGGTCAGATTTAATATTTAATTTAATCAATTTTAATGTGACTTAATTTCAAGTGCAAAAGCAAAAATGCAGCAAACTCGTTTTTCATTCTGAACATTTGTTTTGCTGCTCAGACGTTAGAAGAAAAAACTCCTTCAACCGTAATCGATTTAAAACAACAAATCTGGATCCTGGTAAAAATATTGAATCCAGCGTATTAACTATAAATTTAGTCTAAAATCATTTGAATTGATTGAAGCTGATTCTGTTTAAACTTTATTTCAGTGAACATTTAATGTCAGAGTCCTGTGGTTGGATGTGTGTGTACTCCCCCCCTCCCTGCTCCATCACTGGCCTCTCTCCCGAGCTCTCTTGCCTCCCTCAGAGATCCCGACCACGGCTTCTTCAGAACGAACTAACCTCTAATGTTTGTCCTGTGCTGCCTCCAGCAGTCTCCACTGTAAGAAGTGGTGAGCAGGTTATGCTGGCTGGACCATGTCTAATGTTCTTAAATGGCCCTTAACAACCACAGTGACCTGTTAATAACTGGACTATCGTGCGGTCGTGGTCACTGAAAAGTGCTCAGTTTATGGTCACCCATTAATGTCCTTTTTGGGCCACGAAAGCGTCTGCATTTGCCACTATAGACCAACAAGGAGTCGGCTCTGTGACTGGTGGCTGGAACAGTGATTTGACATTTGATTTGTGAGAAGAAAATATGCGATTTTTATTAGTGAACAATTTTAAAATACCAAAAATGGAGGAGAAGGAGAATAATGTGTTTATATATGATCTGCAAATGTGCTGGTCGTGTGTCGCTGCGTGCTAATGGGAACACAGTGTTGTCATTCACTGTGACGAATAATGAAACTTATAATAATGAACCGTTCGCTTATGAATGAATAAAATGTAGAGTCCACTACATTCTCACATGAAGTCATCGTGTTAGAAGAATGTATGCAGAGAGCCTATGTATATATCTGTGAACCACAGACTACATATAACAGATATCAGCCATTGTTTATGGGATGCTACACTTTGCTGCCGACATTTTGTTTTTCTAACTCCAGAAATATTTAGGTTTAACGTAGCAGGAGGCAAACTGAAAGACTGACCACACCTGTGCAGGTTGGTTTCCAGGCAGGCTCAGAGTTTGATGCTCTGAATTCCACAAAAACATGACACTAAGCTGAGTTACAGTTACAGAACTGGTGTCTGTGTCATCGTTCTCTGGCTGTCGGTTTATGTTATTTGTACAGTTATATTATTGTAATGACAATAAAAACTTTCAATTCAATTAAAACAAACAAAGGGCTCCTAAAAATATCCAAGTCTCCACTTAGAATGATGTTTGTGTCTTTGTTACCAGCATCAGGGGTAAAAAGGGTCTGCGGCTCACACTGACTTTAGATTTTAAAAATCCCACACCGATATATTTTCTTTCATTTGACACTTGCTCTATGTTTGGACCGTGCACTCCCACTCCCTCTATATTTATGATATGGTCACCACGCATTCAGACACACACCCCAGATCCAAAGCGAATCCACAGTCTCATACCCAGGAGTGGGGATCCCAGGCACTGGTTTCTGCACGTCACCACAGGAATGCCAGCAATGCTCCAGTATGGATCCCATTGTGTCAGAAAGGAGCTGTGTCAGAACCGATGTGTAATATGGTGGCTGCAAACGTCTTCAGCACTGGGCAGATGTCAAAACAAACATGGAGGTAGAAGAGTGACTTGGGTAGAATTATTTGTTTAGTGTTATCATTGTTAACCTCCTGAGACCTGAACTCTTTCGTGGCATTTTGACTTTCTCTTTGCTGTTTGGGCTGATTGGGACCTGATTCACGTAAAAACAAAGAATTACCTGATTTCTTTTTTTAACTTGATTTTTGTTTCTGAAAAAAACGAGATCCACATACATTCACTTTAACTTTTGATAGCACAGGGGCAGGATAACGTCCTCGTAAGTGGATATCAGGCCCTTGTAGAGCAAGATTTAGTATTTTGGTCTGAACAACCCAAAATGTGACGTCCACATACGTGGACGCAGGTCCTAGGAGGTTAATAGTGATCGGCACAGAAGAATGCTTTCTTGGGAAAATTCCCGTGTATTTACTACTATCGGCATATTTGTTCATATGTGTCATCGAGTCAAAGGCCAAACGAGACGGAGAGCAGCTCCCTGACAGTCGTGGGTTGGGCCGTAGATTAATATTGAATCACCTGGACAACATGAGAGGACTGGACTCTTGTGTAAGCTGAGAAGCGGTGACACAGCAACGGCTGAGAGCGAGAGACTTCTCGCAGTCACTCCGTTGGCAGGCTCTCTGTGTGTGTTTGGTAAACAAACATTACCCAAGATAGAGCAGGGAGGTGTGAACAAGAGGAATTTTTTTTTCCTGTCCACAAAAACATCTTGCTTGATGACTTTGTCTGCACACATGAGTTGTGTTAAGTATCTGAGGGCAGAATGATCCCACTGGAGAGTCGGTGAGGCAGGAAATGAGCCAGGGGAGGATCCAGGCTGACTGGGTCAGTGCTGGGAGTTTCTAGGCTTCTCTTTCTGGGTCACTAAAGAGTTTCCTCATTTGTCTTGTGCTTTGGTAACCAGTGCATGAGCATCCATTTTCCCCTGCAGGTCCTGGGAGGCTGATATGAAGTGTTAGTGTGACTAACATTTGTGTCATCTAAGAGAGCACAGTTCCTAGAGAAGACATGGCAGCTTCCTGTTGCCTCACACACGCCGCTCTCCTGCCCTCCCACGTTCCACTCTGTCCTGTCCTGCCTTGTCCCATGCAGCTTCGGAAGTTCCACCCCCACCCTGGGCTTGCCAGATTGCTTTTGTGCTGCATTGCGTGATGCCAAACTGCCCCTGTGCGTCACTGGGAGCACCCTTCCTACACACACACACATTGTAAATACATGCTGCTTTGTCACACCGTCCTACTCGTGGGCTTGTCTTTATTTGTATTACAGAGACGGTTGGGTAGTACCTGGTAATGCAAAGGTTTTGCTTTATATCACATGTGCATATATTAGTGGGAATATTTTTTTTTTTTAAGTTCACTTGGTGACCTACAAAGTAACTGACTGCATTTTTAAAGTTAGCCGTCCTCTCCTGTTTGTAGAAAACTGGATCAAGATGATCTTATCATCCTGTACAGAATAACCACCAACCCTTTGTTTACGTGTCATTTTCAGATAGCAAACTTTAAAAAGCGGATTTCTTTCACACTTTTTGTCTTCAGCCAGCAGAGCCTCGGCAGAACAGCACGTCGATTCAAACAGTAACAAAGTCAAATGAATCCTTTTTATTAAGAGCTCTTTGCCTTAAATTGCTTCTGTTTAAATCAAATGTCATCATGACAGAAATGTGGTGAATGTTTGTTTTGATATTACCGAGTTTAAGTCTCAGTCTCCACAGGAGCATTCTGGGTGCTGGGGCAGGAGCATTCTGGGTGCTGGGGCAGGAGCATTCTGGGTGCTGGGGCAGGAGCATGCACACGCCTCTATACTCCTGGAAGCCTCACTGAGGCAGAAATGGAAACCAGAGCAAAGACGGCAGGTCTTTAGCGTCACTCCTGTTGGGCAGCAGCACATCCAGAACCTGGGACAATTTTCTTTTTCCTTCATTATTATTACTTAATTATTGTAATTGCGCGTGTACAGGTATGGCTACACGTTACTGGATGTATTGATCAGTGGGAAACGCTGGTCACCAGCTTAGAAACTGTTGTGTTAATGAAACACACCAGAGCTGCTCTCTTTTTGTTTCTTTGAATATCACAAAGCAAACCCCGTAAAAGTTACTGGAACAAATAAATAAAAAAGTGTTTTTTGTTTTGTTTTTTAATGTTGTTTATTTTGTCCAATGAGCTGTTTTTTGTTTTTTTTTCCAAAGCAATACTTTGATCTTATTGGCGTTTTTTCATTTTTGTGTTTTTCTGGATCCAAAGTTGAACCCGTGCACCACCAAACTCATATAGTTGGCCACATACAGCCCACTTTAATCTTTAGTGGGCAGACCAGTGAAAATCATCTTTCTTTCACTGTACAGACGTTTATTTGCACATTTAATACCGAAGATATTGTAATATTAGAAAAAGACGTGCAAACGTGTGCTATTTCTGTACACGGCAGAGAAATGCTGCTGTAGTTCATACATTGTAAGAAATGTGTGAAACTGCAGACATGTTTACATATTGACTGTCATACATAATTATGAAACTGAAAGTTTTTATTAAAAATAACTCGCCCAGTAAAACCACATTTTTCTGCCTTTTAATTGTTCATCTATTATCTACCTCCTGTGGTTTGGTATGAATGAGCTCTTTGTTTATCGGGAAAGCTGTAAAAATGATGAAAATACAGTTAGAAGAGCAAAATGACTCGATTGGACGAGTCAGGCTGACCTCGGGGTTTTTTACACGTCACCCTGAACTGTTCCCAAAATCGTTCATCATTTTGCGCTGCCAAACTTGGTGGGTGAGTAAGTACAGAGATGTCGAGTGTGTGCGCACCAAACGGTTTCTCAGCTTTGGTTTCCACCTTTGATCGTTTCCATGTGGGGCCCTCCACTCTGGTGCTGACACTTTTAGTTTGAAAGGGCAACTCAAACGTGATCATAGCTTTGCTTTTCAACATTTCCTACTGGCATCACACAGCAAGGAAAGAAGGAAGAGTCACTCGTCATGCTAGTTTGCAGTCAAACGTTCCCCATCTTTATAAAACACAGGAGCGATACTGGCCCACGGATAACTGCCTTTCTGTTCCTCGGTATTTGACTCAATCGGTGTCTATGCTAATAACAAAGGGGTCTTCCTCTCTGACTCATATCCTTCCAACAGGTAGACTTACTCCCACTCTTTTTTCCCTTTTCACTTTATCTTCCTTTCTTCTCCGCCTCTATCTCTGTCTTTCTCTTTTTCCAGGGACCACACATAGCATCGGTGACCCTGGCGGCCTACGAGTGCGGCTCTGTGGATTTCCCCGAGCCACCGTATCCAGAACAAATAGTTTGTCCCCAACAGGAAGCACCAGCATCAGATTCTGGTGCTGAGCAGGTGGGTGTGGAAGCTGTGGGGTCAGAGACGCTCCAGGGAAAAGTCTCACTGTGGACCATCCTCTCTAAAGTCCGTCTGGAAGCTTGTATGTGGGTGAGTGTGTGTTACACGTCAGGCACCGTCAGCTGTGGACATTATAGATGAGAACATTTTAAAAACCCTGCAGAGTTCGGCTCCTTTCGTTCAGTTTCGGTCACAGTTTGCAGCAACCTTTCATATTAGCCACAGCTCGTAGCAGTGTTCAGTGTTTGTGGTGCTTACAGGTGGATATCTCATGTCTGCTAAATGTCAGTTTCTCATGAACTAAGAAAAAACCATCTTTGTAGACGTATTCAGTGGGTGTCGTTACGCAGAATCGCACCAAAACCTGAAGGACAGCACGCTCAAAACTTGGTGAAGATCGAATCCTAATACAGACTATTTAAACTCTTTGGCGCCATTCTGACCATATCAAAGGTTATGCTAATTTATGCTAATTAACTTGCATTTTTTTACCTTTCACACTCAAAGCAGAAACGACACAAAGGTGCATTGGAACTGGGTGCAAATGTATTCATTGATAACTGGTCTGCTTGGAAAACCCCTGCTCCTTCCTGTGAATTTCCCCTAACCAGCATCGATGGTTTCACACCTCTAACCAACCCTGCGGCTGCAGAGACCAACATCTCTTTTTTTTCAATCGATGAGGTTTTTCTCAGACGTGCGTCAGAAACATTTTTATCTCTTTATATGAAAACAGCTGCTTTTCAAACACTTGGAGGCCTCGTATTAGCAGCGTCCACTTCCAGAGCGCGTGGGTCTGCGTGAGTTTTTATAAAGTCACTGATGATAACTTGCACACAAACACAACAGTCACGCTCGATTATGTGCGCTTTTGTTTACGTTTTCTCAGTGACGTGTGGACCTGCTGAACATTCAGAGAATAGAGAACTTGGCGTCTGACACATGATGACTTTGATCGTTGTTGTCCATTTCCCTTTTCCTCTTAATGTGGAAGGTTCAGAGATGAGGGGGAAATGCATGTTATCAGCTACGAGGCTTTACTGGAACTGGGCTCCCTGCTCAGACCGGCGTTCGTTATGTAACTTTATTTTATATAATTATGCATTTATGGTCCTTTGACTTGATCTTTATTTGATCCGTTTTCACTTTAAACGTCCCCTCCAACCTTCCACTTTGTGTTACCATATATGTGTACACACACCGATCCAGCATGTAAAAAAAAAAAAAAGAAGGTGTGCATGTTTTATTAATTGGTGCAGCACGGTCGTTTCTCTGCTTTCAAAATGGAGTCGCATTTTTCTCTGCAGCATCGTGTTACGAGCAGCGATATCCAATCCCCTCGGATTCATAACCACCCACTACCAACCAACCACTGCCCCTTTGTAACCTCAGCCTGGCACGACCTCGGCCGAGGCTTGTCGGCGATTCAGTTGGAAACACCTGTCGCACCCACGGCTTCAAAGCGCCCACGTCAACATTTCCCCTCCTCCTCCCACCTTGTGGATACGTCGCTGATGAGACGCGTGTGATTCCCCTCCTACCTTCTCTGTCCTCTTTGTTGTCTCTTCTTCTCTGTGCTCGGTGGACAGAGAAGCTCAGAGGTCCGCTTTAAGAGCGGCGCCGTGCAGGTAGACGCGTTTCGCTGCCCCCCACACAAACCACACGGCCACAATGCTCACACACAGAGGCAGAGCTGCTGAATGGAGCAGCTGCCAGGGAGATTAAGACACATCTCCATTATGAGGAAAAAAACTGGCACATTTCATCAAAGACTCCAGTGTTAACAAGAGAACAGGGTGTCCAGATTAAAGATCGAGTTTGCCAGGTTTGGGGATAGCACCGCCTCCCGAGAATGATTGTTTGGGCTTGTTGTTGCTGCCATGGTTGCTAACTACCTACTAATCATCTTCTGGCTCCAGCCATCCAGCAACATACAAGTAATGTGCCTGCGATTAGTCAGTTATATCCTTCTGGGGGAGAAGTTGTTTTGTGTTCCAACGAGACGACTGAAGTGCAAAAGGATTTTTTTCTTCTTTTCGTTGCTGTCGGTGCATCGAAGGGTGTCGGGATGTGGTAAATCTCGAAATCACCCATTTGTCATCTGAAACTTAAACTAACTGTATCTTCTTGTCCCCGGCTTTGCGCATACTTTTCCTTTGTGCCTGGAAACATTAAAGTAATGAGCTGTGAGCAACTCCAAAAACGCACATTTCTTGGCGGCTGTTTTCATTGTGTTAATTAAGTCTGTAACCCTCACCCGCTCTCTCCCCCCTCCGAACTCCTGCCCTGTTCTCATGTTTTGGTGGATGAACTTGGTGAACCGACTGAAGTGCTGAGGATTTATTTCCCCCCCAAATCACTTCCGCTTTCTTCCTGTTAAGCCCCCTACAATCACACAATCATATGGCTACAAGCTCATTGTCGCTGTCGGACTTGGATGTTCTGGTTGCTTGGACGAGCTCCCTCTCCCCCAGATTTGTTAGCGCATCTTAAATTTTCTTGAAAAGGTTGCAGATTGGAGAGGAGGAGCCAGGAGTTTCACACACCCTGGACCCGTGTTTAACGTATCCATGATTGTTTAATAATCTGCCGGATTTATTTCTTGTAAATCTTTTCCGTTTTATTCCCATTAAGCGCACTGATCTCAAATCCCCGACGTCAAGCATCGCAAGCTGCTTTGCATAGTGGATATTGATATTTCATGTCTATTAACCGTCTGAAGGCAAGAAAAACATGGAATGATTTAGCGTAACAAAAAGTCATTTCACAGCCAGATGTCTTGAGGCTTAATTAATATTTAAAGCTGTGGCATCACTTAACCGCAGATCTTGGATACAGTATAAGTGTTTTTAATAACTGCGCTCTACATCTGAGATATCTGTCCAGAAGCTCTGTCGATTGCAGATTTTGACATAACAGAAGTGTGTGTTATATATGAAATCACACGATGAGGTTAAACATGAATGAAACGTGTGTGAACAGGGTGTGGGCACAGCCATCGGAGAGCTGCCTCCGTACTTCATGGCGCGAGCGGCTCGGCTGTCTGGCACTGAACCCGATGATGAGGATTACCAGGAGTTTGAGGAAATGCTGGACCAGGCAGAGGCCACGCAGGTGACACGCTGCTCATCTCAGACTCATCATCTTCATCATCATTCTGTGTAATCAAACTTCCCCTCTCCTACCTCCTTCTTTCCTGCATCGCACATCTTTCTGTCGTTTCCTCTCCGCTCGTTTGCCTTCATCACTCCATCACATTTTTTTTGCTCTATACCAAAAGTCACGTCTGATGTGGCAAATTTGCTTTTGTAACCTGCGTGTGTTTGTGTTTGAACCTCCCCTCGGTGTCTCAAGACTGCAGCGCTTTCACAATGCTGTGACTAAGGGAACAGCAATGATGCACTAGAGTAAAATGTTCCCGCGACATCCGGGCCCTCGTTGAGTAATTTCCTGTTTGCGTTTGGGTTTTTTGGGTTCTCATGTCTAACATCTCTGCAAATGTTTCAACAATGCCTAACAACTCTGTCTAAATATTTATTTTTCCACCTTCTTGCGATTATGAATAGAGGGAGAGGAATGAACAGAAACATGCATGTGGATTTCCAAAGGCTTGTCATGTGTATGTCCATCGTCAGTCAAAGGCTGCGGTAGGTCAGGTGGATAAAACGACCAGCTGCTGAAGCGAGCTGCAGCCGACTCACTCATTTTCTCTGTTTTGAGCTGCGAGCAATAACTTTATTTTTTAATGAGGGTGTCTCAGATATTAAAGGACTGCTACGTGTTCAGTGTCCGTTTCATCTTTTGAAGCATGTGTGTAGGATCTGTGACTTGTTCAGCCACAGTTGCATTCTGGGTAATTAAATAAGTAAGTAAAGTTTATTTATTAAGCACTTTTCATAGACAGGTAGTCACAAAGTGCTGCACACAGAGATGAAAATAAACAGTACGATAAATAGAAAAATGCACAATATAGAGCTTAAATGTAAATTAAAAATATAAAAATGTAAAAAGCGTTGGTCAACAGAAAGCTTGTTTAAACAGTAAAGTTTTAACTGCTTTTTAAAGGATTCCACAGAGTCAACCAAACGTAGTTGTAGAGGCAGACTGGTCCACAGCCCTGGTGCCACAGACTGAAAGGCTCCGCCCCCTTCCCTCTTCAGACAATTGTAATGGGGAAACATGGCCGACATACGGACCTCTGGCCATAACTGACAAAATGCTTTTTAGCACTTTTTTTTTTTTTTTTTTAGCACATTTTAATGAATTATTTTTCATCTGTATTTACAAAATATATTTTCAAATGTCACCATATTTTTTTTCTGTAAGCTATAGAGTAATTGTTTTAAAATAAAAGGTTAACCTCCTAAGAGCCGAACTCTTCCACAGCAGCATTTTTAATTTCTCTCTGATATTTGGGCAGATTGGGACCTGATGAATGTAAAAACATGAATAAAAAAATTAATGTAACCTCATTTTTGTTTCTAAGAAAAATCAGAGCCACATCTGAGGATATTCATTTAAAATTTCGATAGAACAGTAGCAGTATAACGTCCTTGTTAGTGGATATCAGGCCCTTGTAGAGCAAAATTGAGTATTTTGGTCTAAATAACCCAAAATGTGACGTCCACATATGTGGACGCAGGTCCTAGGAGGTTAAGAATTGTTATTTCCACCTTATTGAATTTAAATCAGGGCCAATTTGTTGTAGTTAAACACAAGTTGTTGTTTTTTTTTTGTTTTTTTAAATGAGCAATTTAAAAATGTAATTTTTTTCTTTTATATCAATTTAATAAGTAATAAGTTGCAGCTTTCAGCACTATTGTAACACAGAGGAGCTACGCAGGTTTGAACTTTGATCTTTCTTTTTCTTCTCGTTCTACCTGATCAGCTTAAACCACGTTGTAACTGTTACGCCTTCAGCTGGCTGAAGTAGTAATCGGTGATTAGTTGTCACAAATGAACTTTGAAGTCAATAATTACAACATATTTAACGACGTGTGGTTCCTGAGACGAGCCGCTGTTTCCATTATCAGCGACTTCAACAAATGTGGACGAGGGCTGCGCTGACACAGACATCAAACTTCGTAAAGCTCTGAATATTCACAGATATGTACATGTGCTTTCTTTTTATGAGCTTTATCATTCAGATTTGTGCTTTTTATGAACTCAGTGTTTTTCCTTGGGCATAAATATATTTAGACTGGAGTCATTTAGCATATAAATCAAAGTTTGTTGTCAGTGCAACAACGGCGCAGCAGCACGCTTTGATCGAATGCTGAATTTTGCCGTTAAAACAGAGAAAAGCAAAACAGCAACTTCAAAATATTTTGATATTAAAATGAAATGTGTTTCAGTCATGAAAGCATCCAGTCTGCATGTGGATGCACTCGTTAGGTCAATGTGAGCTCAGGAGTTTCCTTTTGCACCACGTCAGGCTTTCTCCTCACTTTGCATCTCTCTCTCCCCTCCTCTCGCGCTCGCTCTGTTCTGTGATATGTGGTAACTGTGTGTTTGTGTATATATGTAATGTGCACTTTGATAGCAGCTGGAGGCGGGTTGCTTGCACCAGCACAGACCTGCTGCATACGGAAACGTTTTTTCTCTCACCGGGGCTTTTACTGTTACTCGGATGTTCTTGGGATTCCCTCTTTGGCTCGCGGACATCCCACAACACGTCTCTTTTTTTCTTTTTTCCTCGTCCACCATTTAGCCTCTTATTAACTGACGTCGTTTTATTGTGGACGTTGGCGTTCATCTGCTGTGGAATAGCTTTTTTAAATGATATATTACCAGCTGAGCATTAACGGCAGCGGTGGAAACCGACTCCACTGCGACTGGAATGGACAAACTATCACTGCATTGTTTATGAGACAGGAAGTGGTTAAATTTTTCATGAAGGAAGTGACCCCCTCTAACCCTTAGCCCGTTCCACATACGTACCCCCCCACCCGCCTCCCAAAAACCCCAAACACACACAATAGCACACGCTCCCCCCTGTGGCAGCAGAGTCGGACTAAGATGCTTTGTACCCTCCATCAGTAAGAGAGGTTTCTCAGGTGCCAGCATTTTGACTCAAACCCGCTGGTATTTCTCCCACCCTGCACGTGCCAACTTCCTGCCACAAGTGCACGTGATGCGCAGCAACAAAGCACTCTGGGTTTTTCCTCATTCATTCAACAGAAGAATAATGAAGTCATGCCTTTTCTAACGGCTCCAGACGCTGATGTCATGAACATCAGTTTTTTCCCTGCTTAAATCAAGCTCCGTGTGAGTGAGAGCACCAGAGAGGAATCCTCAGCACTGACACGGACCATAGCAGAACATCCTGCTGGGCTTGGATCTCTTATAACTTCATTAGAAATGACTTCCTGTTGAAGGGTTTTTTTCCTTCGTCTGGCATTGAAAGCGTTAACAGGCTGCGAATTCTTGATTGCCAACTCCCAGGATCCTATCTCCTGTAACTCAAATCAGGGCCATCTGCGCTGGGCGTATGCCTGCCTTCCCCCCTGGCCTACTGCACTCAAAGGCTCTCTGTGCTGTGGTTTGCCCAGCCTTGTCACGTGACTTCTCTGAAAGTGCCCCCTCCCTCCTCCTCCCTCTTTATTTCCAGTAAACTGTTTGAAAGGAGGGGGGTGAGTCAGAGTAAAACCAGCTTCCCTTTAACCACAGCTTGTTAAAGAATTTGTCAACGTGGACTCAGGGTGTGTGTGTGTGTGTGTGTGTGTGTGTGTGTGTGTGTGTGTGTGTGTGTGTGTGTGTGTGTGTGTGCATGTGTGTGTTTGTGTCTGTGTGTGTCTGTGTTGTGTGTGTGTGTGTGTGTGTGTGTGTTGTGCCATTGGACAGATTTGAATTTGTACCTCTTGGTTTTTTTGGTTTTTTTGAAAGGCGACTATAGCTTCGATTGCGTCAAGAGTCCTTAATCACTTCACTTCCTGTGCCAGACAGAGCGGGCGCAGGCTTGTCAGGAGTTAATGAGATGAACTTTAGCCGTCTTCATGTCGGGGGGCTCGCGAGCGCTCTGGAGATGTCTTCTATGTAGAAGAAAAAAATGTGCGTGGGTGTTGACTTGTGTATAGGCTATGCATAGATTTTTCCTTGTGTGACACTTAGATTTTCCACATGGAGCAGATTGCCTGGTCACTGCCTGCTTTTTGTCCATCTGAACTCTGTCCCTCAAAAGTCAAAACAAAGTGATCGCTTCGTCGACTTTTCCACAATGAAAAGTCCGCAGGACGTCAGACCATGTTCACTAAAAACAATGGAGCGATCCGCTTTTTGCAGTATATTATAATATTATTCTTATTATATAATGCTCTCTCCTTTCGATATCTAATTCAAAAAAGTAAACAGACTCAAACCAGCTTGAACTGAGTACAGCTGAGTCCTTACGTTTGAGGAGTTTCTTTTTATTTGGCCACCTGCTTGAATTATCTGCAAATCATCCACAATATATTCACTGGTCAAATCATCTTAAGGCTGTAAAATGTAAATGTTCATAAAACATTACAGACCGAAACCTGTGAAAAGAGGCGTCTGACTCGCCTATAATTTGGTTCTTAAACGAGGTCTTGACTGGTCCGATCATCTCGAGCAACAAATCAAATGTGGTTTTGTGTCCTTGTGTGGTGACTGAAGGTTGCTGAGTAAAGATTTGTGCTGAGCAGCCAAAGCTGGAGCCAAAGCTCCCTCCTTTCATGACGCTGCACCCTGACACCATCGCAGCAGATGTCACCGCTGCTAAGCCAGCCTGGCAGGTCGGAGGACGCTGTATGTGTTGTTAATAAGCTGCCAACAACAAAGACGGGCACTTCCCTGGTCCAGAAACAGAGTTGTGTCCATAGTTGTGCTACAGTAAATCAGTGTCACAGCCTCTCCTCACCTCCTAAGGGACCCTCTGTTCACACTGATATATACTCTGTTAGTGCACACCTAACAGCACCTAATGTAAACAATGCGTGCGTCAAGATATGGTGAATGAACGGGACTCGAGGCTGCGTGTGTGCGGCGCCCAGCGGCACTGTAGGATGCATTAAGAGCCACAGATGTCAGGTATCCAGACACGGTCGTCAGCAGTTCAGCTATAAACCAGCCGTACACATTCCTTCCTTCCCTGTCTCCCACCAGCTGAGCATTTCTCTCTCTCTCTCTCACACACACACACACACACACACACACACACACACACACACACACACACACACACAGGCTAGAATTAAAACTCCGGGGTTCATGATTGGACATCAGCAGAGGCAGAAATTCAAACTGTGAACCAATCAGATTGCGTGTCCGTTCGCTCCCCCCTCCACCACCTTATTAGGCGACCTCCCATGTCTCTCAAATTTCCCGTCTGTTGGGTTGCACCCAGTAAAGAATGTCATCAGCACTGTACTGGTTTTGTTGACCATATTAGGTATGATCATCTATTGCAGGCCCCCCCACCCCTCAATTTTGAAGCTGCTGTGTTTCACAAACTGAGGCCTTGCTTTCAAAAAATAAACCCAATTTTTAGCCTTTTCATCTGATAAAATTCCTCTTTTCAGATAAATTTGGTTGATTTTTGTTTTGTTTTTTTCAGGTGAGGAAAAAATGTTTTTGCTAAAAGAAAATAAAGTTCACAAACATTTAACACAGATCGAATGAAAATTTGACTGTGAAATATGCATTTAATAACCTGAGGAAGGTTCTAAATGTGTCATTAGTTTTGTTCAGGAATTATTTGTCTTTACAGGAATTAGTGGTTTGAAACCAAAATAATTTTGTCCATACGAGCAGATCGAGGGCTCGCTCACTGTAAAGAAGAGTGTTTTTAATTTTTTGCATGAAAATATTCCCACAGATATCAAAGGAGTTGAATCTAAAATTCACAAAGACAACCTCTGTGACACACACATTTATATATAACACACAGCAGCCTGATATTTCAAACTAATCTGTCTTATTTCAGAGAAATACTCTTAGAAAAAATAGATCTATTTACATCCATATTGCTCTCAGCCAGTAATTGACATAATTAATATATGTAGAGCCTGTGTTACATGTTTACATCCCCCGTCTATGACAACAATTACACTGATTTCTAAACAAATATTATTTTGGTGCAACGAGTTTGAGAAGCTGAGAAAATGTGGAAATAATAAAGACAGAAAGCAGACTTTATTTTCTAAAACCAAAAGATGAAAATATTAAAAATCTACTTAAAAGCAGTAATTTTACCAGCTGTTATATTGCTGTTTGTGTTTGGCTCTCAGTCGCAATTTCTTTTGAAAATGTAAATCTTCACAGATGTGGATGTTGTAGAAATGCTGATTGTAGAAACGTTTAGCTGCATATTATTGTGCCGTCTTGTATCTGAGGTTTCCTTTTAAATTCACAGTTTTCCCAGAAGTAGTTCAAGTAAAATCCAAACAGAGCTTCTCTTCCCAGAAAACACATTGAGGTCAAATCTGTCTCATTGCTGTGAAAAGAGGCTTTTGTGGAGATGTCAGTGGGGCCGAGCGAGACCAGCAGCAACGAAGAATTAGTCACTGGAATAACACGTCTGTTGTCTTCTCACATTTTCACAAAGGAATTAATAAGTTGTGCTGTAGGTAAAGTGCAAGCACGACAAACCAGTTTATTCTTCCTCTGCAGAGTCAACAGACGAGTTTTGTAATTAAATGAATTTTCATATGATAAAAATCCATATTTACAGCAGCCAAAGCTCATCTAAATCTTTAAACCCACCTTTCCCCAGTCAAGCTTTTAAATGAGCAATACAACAAAATTCTCCTTTGTAGAGTTTTTACATTTATTTTGATTAAAGTGTATGAGTGAGAATTATGCTCATGGAAATATTAAATATAAAACCATCCTAAGTGCAGGTTTTAGAAGGCTCTGTGATTTTTGAGTGTTTGGAAACTAAAAACTGATTTGAGAGGTAAAGACAGCTCCGAGCATTAAGTCTGCACTACTAAAATCCTAATTTTGGAGGATTTGCTGTGTTTCTGTAGAAAGACATTTGCAGCAGGTAGAAAATGTTCCTGTTGCAGCTGCAGCTTGTTTGAACTCGTGTAGAAATCAGCAGAGACGAGAAAAATCAGGAATTATCTCATTTTTCGTTTCGCTGGACGCTGTTTTTGTTTTTAGATTTAAAAAAGGCAGAAGGTTGATCTCTGCTGCACCAACACTGAATTATAAAGAGGAGAAATGACTAAAGCAAGGCTCTGATTTTAAGATCTAAATGCATCCGTTTTTTAAATGTGACATTTGAACAGTTTTCCGAGCAGTTGTTAAAAAGCTCGTTGGATGCAGCGCTGCAGCCGTTTGTTTCTCACAACTGTGAAATTTGTTCTGCTTCAAAAACAAATTCCCTGAAACAGAAACTTCAGCTTCTTCTCATTTCAAATGAATTTTACCAGCAAGTAAAAGGAAACTGAAGAAAGCAGCAGTGATCAGGATGATTATCACTGAATCGGAATGAAGTATTTTAAAGACATTGTGAGATCTGATTTTTAAAATCAACGCTGATAATTAGGAAATTATTTAATTTGACTGTTTTACCTTTGAGTTAAAAGAAACTGGCCTGTAGATCTGACATCAGCCTTCGGTTCATTAACAGTGTGTAAATGAACAAATCTGTGGAGGTGATTTATTTGCACATTTTTCTCCTTTTTTTTTTTTTAGGACTTCTCCTCCCGGGCGAAAGTCGGCGTACAGAAACTGATCCAGAAAGTGGGATTCTTTGGGATTTTAGCCTGCGCCTCTGTAAGTCCCACACAAGCTTATTTTGATTCTTTCTGTAATAAAACGCCATAAAATAATCCTCCTTATTCTGCAGACGTCCACACTAAACACACACGGATGCTTTTCTTGACTTTGATCGTGCTTCTGATTTCCCTCAGATTCCCAATCCCCTGTTCGACCTGGCAGGAATAACATGCGGACACTTTTTGGTCCCCTTCTGGACTTTTTTTGGTGCAACACTGATCGGAAAGGCGCTCATCAAAATGCACATTCAGGTAAGCGACATTAAAAAGCCCCGTGGATCTCTGTGGCTCATAGAAATAGAATAATAGAAGAGAGCTGTGTGAATGCACAGCGTCACATCTGTGTGTGTGAAATGTTCGATTCTGTGCTGAAACAAAGCGTCGCAGAGATGCAAGTCTTTAATGGGGACAAATGCATGAGATAGTCTCACTGATGCAGTGACTGCTCTGGAGTCGGCTCCGGAGTGAGGAGGCCATTTTGTGCAGCCAAGCAGGGGGGGAGTCAACCATTTTGTGAGTGCAGCTGCAGCAGCACAGAGCCTGCAGTGTGTGTAGATGGTCCAAAGCTATAGGGGGGAAGCAGCTTCATCCTGCATTGTTGAATAAGGAGCTGTAGGTAGGAGACTTCCCAAATACTTGTTCTAATCCTGGAAAATCCTCAGTTTGCGTCCAGGAATTTGTGGCATGTCTGCGATCACCGTCGGGGGATCGACTTGTTTTCTAACCAAACGCAGGAATTTGCTCACTGTGACACAGACGGGTTAAAAACACGGGAAGCATTTCCACAGCAGCTGTGTGACTCGGTGAGCACCAGCAGATAAACATCTGTGGGGGGTAAAGGAGGCCGTGTAGGTGGTGGCTGCACACGCACGGCAGGAACACTCACACACACAGTGCTAGATTACACCCGGCTCCCAGGGGCCCCCCGCTGACAGAGGTGTGGCCCTCTGTGTCACGTAAAGAAGGACCCCCCCCCCTCTGCAGGCCCCCCTGGAGCTGCTCGCTTTAATTGTTCTGAAAGTTTGTTTCTCATGCAAATGATCTGAGTTTAACGTCTTTGTGCAGAAAACAAGAAGTGTTACGAGACGGCCGAGCAGGTGACAAAGGGGGGTTTTAAGGCTGTGTGTGTGTGTGTGTGTGTGTGCGTGTGTGTGTGTGTGCGTGCGTGTGTGTGTGTGTGTGTGTGTGTGTGTGTGTGAGTCACTGACCTGTATTTAAGCCTCTCTCCTCGCTGCTCGCTCTCATCAGTCACTGTGAGCCGGACGCGTGCGCACACTCGCTGTAACGCCTGATTGATGGGACGCTGAAGCTGGTCTGAGATCAGCGATGCTCTCTGTAATCTGACGCTGTCG